ATGGGCATGTTATTCTTGCTCAAGTGTAGACCTTAGCAGTTCCCAGTGACCTCATAGCTCTGCAAGAAACACTGTTAAATGGGAAATCTATTTTTTTTAAAGAGCAGGAATATATATATATATATATCTCGGCACATGGTGGGCCAGAGGAGCAGATGATGCAGGAGGCCCCGGTTCTTGACCCAGTTGCTTTACTTATCAGCTGGATCCAAGCCTTTCCGCCACGTCGGTACCCTTAGTCCAGACTATCATCACCTCTGCCCTTGACCGTTTCACTCAACTTCCACACACGCCTCCCTGGGATTCATTCTCTGTATGGCAGCCAGAGGGAGCTTTTAAAAATGTAAATCAGAACATGCCACTTCTCTACTAAAACTTTCCATATATTTTCCCTGAACTTTGAATAACATCCAAACTCCTCACTAAGTCCTGTAACACCTTCCATGATCTGGCGTCTGCCTACCTCTCTAGCCCTATTCCGGACCCCTCACCTCCTCGCTCACTGACCTTTCTGTCTGTCCCCACATCGCAGTAATGTCGGTTCTGCCTCAGGGCCTTTGCACTTGCTGTTCGTGTTGACTGAGTTGCTCTTCGCTCATCTTGACATGGCTTCTCCCTCTTACGATTCGGATCTCAGCTTAGAAGTCCCTTCCTCTGTGTGTGAGAGGTCTTCCCTGAGGATGTCTTCTGAAGTTTCCCAACCTGACCCCCATCACAGCTTTTTCGCTCTGCTTTATTTTACTCTATGGTGTTTACTAAAATCTGAAATTATTTTGTTTATTTTATTGTCTGTCTCTGCTGCCCCACTAATGAGCCTCGTCTGTCGCATTCACGGCTGCACTACCAGCACCTAGAACAGGGTATGGCCTGTAAGAGATCATCACATATTTACTGAATGGCTGGATGAATAATGATCATAAGGTCATTTAACATATTTGAGCCCCAAATCCCCGGCTATATGTCTGATCTTGGATGATCCTTAGAAAATTCCCTGAGGTAGACATTACTATTATAGCCAGTTTACAGTTCAAGAAACTGAAAGTCAGATGAGTTAAAGAACTTGCCTAAAATCATAACTGTGGCCTGGAAGTGTATCCCTTTTGAGATCCCAACAAAGATTTGGGGGAGAGAGGCAGGGGAGAATAATTCTCTCCATTCTTTCACATTTTAAATCCCACTGAAAAGCTTGGGAATGGCACAATATGTTACCTGTCTGGTATAGCCAAAAGCAAAGTCTGTGGCCAGGACTCAGCCCAATGGGTGATAGACTCTATTCCCACATGTAATTTTTCTCTCTGATTCATTCTGAGCACATCCACTACACTGTCATTCATTTACTTATGTATCGATTCATCACACATATACTGTTAACAGCTGGGTACTAGCATAAGATACAAGGCAGCTCCAAAGAGGAACCCCTGATTTATGCTAATGGTCTGTCCCTGGTCTCCCCTAGGAGTGTGTGGTCCCTAATGAGGTCTATTGGTCAAATTCTAATTCTTTTGACTAACTAAGGTAACGCATATAAAGTGCTTATTAGCTAGGTTGTGGCATGGAGTAGGCCCTCAAGGAATGTTAGGATGATAATGATGATGACGATTATGATGATGATAATGATGATGATGGAACCTAGACCTTCTTTCCTAGCAAGGTTGCCTAGAAGGGGAGAAAAATATTTAAAATGCTCTTGGCATTTTCCCCGCTTCCAGAGCCACCCTATTAAAAAATCCAGCACACATGACTCCCATTGCTTTTTCCTATATCCACAGCCTATACAAGCAACTGAAAGTAATAAGCATAATTTAAATGCTGTGTCTTTCCTAATTAAAATCTATCCAGGAGGGGATGCCAGAGTTATTTTAGTCCATGTGGCAGAGGAAGTTCTATTATATTAATTCAGGCTTCTAAACAGAGTCCAAGGAGAGATGTGTGTGTGTGTGCGTGCGTGTGTGTGTGTGTGTGTGTGTGTGTGTGTGTACAAGCATGCATGCACGTGCATGTAGTATAAATTTTTTGGGGTGGGGGGTGCCATTAAGAATGCATAGTTGGCCCTGAACAGGTTGTAGGATATGAATTTTCAAAGGGAGCTGTTGATGGAGCCACTGGAAATTGTTTCCTGAGGCGCCCCAGGCTGATGAATAACACTGAGTCTGCCTTGGCCCTTTTAGGTGGTTCTGAAGAAACCCACTGGAATGGCTTTTCCATGAGGAGATCTGTTCCGGGCTGTCCCAGGCCTCTCCGTGGAGGCTCCACATGCTTGGCGACTCCCCTTGGAAACACTGTTTGCCAGAGCAGCTGTGTCGGCCCGGCTTCCCCAAGCAAGTCAGCAAAGCAAGCAGGGAGCCCTCTCTTCACCCAGGGGCCTCTTTCCAGGGGGCCACCCCCCAGAGCAAACCACACAAGAAAACAGGTCCAGAGAGAAGGAAGACAGTGGGAAAACAAGAAGGGAAAGAAGAGAAGGCGGGAAAACTTAGAAGTTGGTTTAAAAGGTTTGAGAGACATTCTCTCTCAGGGTAGGTTTGCTTTTCAAGGCCAGGAGTTTGTCTGTGTGGGCGGACAGTTGGCTGAACTATGAAGACAGTTGAGGGCATACTTTTCATTTTCAGAGGATCACCTGGCCCTGAGCCTGCACTGTAACTGCTAATATTTCTGAAATACATCTCACTGTATTTTCTCCCGTTGATAAATCCATTTCTTTCTCAGCAGCGTTTTGGCCATATTGTCACTGAGAAGAAGAGGAAAGCCATCAAATAGGGAAGAAGGACGATATGATCATAAGGGGACCCGACTCACACCCAGCAGGAAAAGGGAGGAAAAGCACATACAGGTCTCAGAAGGGGGCCCAGCGGAGAGAGAAGGCAGGACAAGGGGTGTGAGATGTGGGTGTTTCTGCTCCCCAAATCGAGGTCAAACCGAGGTTTGTTGGGGAGTGGGAGGGAAGGAAAGATGTTTAATGGGGGTTTAGGAACACCCAGATAGGAAAATAAGAAACTTAGCCCTGGGAAATGCAACGTTTTAGGCAGAGTTTGTTTGGCCCACTATCCATCCAGCACGGCTCCGGGGCGGGGGACCAGGGCTGAGGAAGGAATCCAGGTGAGGGGCCTGGAGGTCCGTTTGGCAGAGAGTTGACAGACTCCAGCTTGATGCAGTGAACACATATGAGAGTTCTGGGGCCCCTGGAGATACAGGGGCTAAAAGAAATGAAGATCTGGGTGGCAGATAAGGTGTACAGGGAGTGGGGACTCACGTCTAAAGGCCAAGTTGGGGACCACACAAACTCCAAAGGACCAGGTGGGATTTCCTTCCCGGGCAGATACCCGGGAACCAGACCCAAACAGCAGCACGTAGAACCGAGATGACCCCCACGATCATAGGACTTGCATGCTTCTTCCCCACCCAGACACGAGCTGGAGAAAGAGAAGAAGGTGGAGAGAGAATCTCGAGGGGAACTGCGCTGGACATTTGTATTTTGCATTGATTGAATTCTTAACCCAAAGAAATCAAGTTGAATGAAAGAGCTTGTTTTACATTGGGAAATAAGAAATTACTTTTAATTGGCCAATTAAGTTTTCTGGGGAATCAAAGATGAAATCAATTATAGAGACTTTTAAGAGCTATCCTTTTTCCCCCAACTGAATTGCAGTGTAAAAATTGTTACCTCTCTATTATAATGACCTTACACATCCACAAGTAGATTTAGAGCATACAAGTCACTTTTCTACATATCATCTTCACATCAGATTAAAGTAGATGCTCTTATTTCAACTTTACGGAGGCAGACAAAAGAGGTTCAGTGATGGTAGGGGGCCTTGTTCAAGTTCAACAACTTTGAAGAAGGCCTCTTCCAGGTCCATTTTAATATAAGTGCTGAATTTCAGTCTAATATAGTGGTTCTCACCTGGGCTGTTTTTGGAGACAATTTTGGTCATCACCACTTGGGGGGCGGGGTGCTACTGGCATCCAGTGGGTAGAGGCTGGGGATGCTGCTAAGCATCTTATGATGCACAGGGCAGGCCTTCACAGCAAAGAATTATCTGGCCCAAAATGCTGTAGTGCCGAGGTGAAAAAACCCTTTGATGTATTGATAGGGGATTCCAGGAGAGGAAATCGTATCTCTCCTTCCACACTTGAAAGAATGGACAAAGACCCAGAACCAAGGTGGTTACGATTTAATAAAGGAGGCACAACTGATAAACCTTAACTTTCTGGAGACACAGCCTCATAAAAACTCCATTTCAAAAGTGCTGTGGGGAAGGAGTGAGTCAAAGGTCTTGTCAAAGGACTGAGAGGAAGCGGTGCTCGCCCTGGGCAGGGGGCACCCAGGGGTGGACTCAGAGTGGATAACTTTTAACTTCCTTTCCTCTGTACAACGCGATTATTTTCAGTAACGATTGTAAATTGAAACAATGCCCAGAATACCATGAAATTTTTCTTCTCTTGAATATCATATACATAACCATATTTGTAACAAAAATTAAATCAAGGGAAAAAGTAGTAGATTAATACTTTTTAATTATATGAATGTATTTTCTTTTAAAAAATGCACACTTGCACATTGGCCTGTTGGAATAATGAACGATATTACAGATTCTATGTCTGTGCCTTAACTTCTGTAAATCTGTCAATGACTGTTTTTTCATATTCATGTTTAGTAGACAATACAGCTGAATTTGTCAAGCTATCTTCTCTCATAGGTGATCAAATAATTTTTTTCTTAATTTTAATGTTGAAATTTTCTTTCACGCAAATCGACAGGTTTACAAGTAGGAATTTTAATATCTACGTGAGGGCAACTTCGGCAGAGCGCCATAAAATACCCCATTTCTCAATAAATTCCAGAAATTGCAATACTGACCATGTCTGTTTCCCTTCAGGATCTGTTGTAGCAGCTTGCCAAAATCTTCACAGTTGAAAATGTCTATTAAAACACTTTCAGCAGAAAATTCATTGTATTTCTATCATATTGGGAAAATTTTCAAATTTTTTTCTTGTGCAAAAATAGGGGCAATACCTGAATAACAGATATTCCCATTGATATAACATTGATATCACCATTTTTAAATCCCTTTAGACAGTGTACCCCCTTATTACCTACCCAGAGGTGATCTGTTCTGCCACCCAGCCCTTGGTACGCATAGGCCCATGGATGCTTTCTGGAGGAGGTGAGCGTCGTTGTTCAGGGGAAGGATATCTGTGGGGCGGCAGGCTGCATTGAATGTGTTCTAAGATTAGGTCCTTTCTTTGCGTTTTAGTCTCTGCAAAAAGAACACGAAAATACAAAAACACATTAAAGAGTAAAGATCACACTGAATTACGTAGTTAGGATTAGTTTCAGTTGCCATCCGTTATGTGCCTCAAAGATGCTGACATCTTTGTGGAGGGGCTGTGTTGTAAACACATGTGTCTAAACCACATTGTAGGAAGTGGGCCATCACGGAGAGGGACAGATGGAGAGCTCGTGTCAGAAGTGGGGTGAGGTTAGAAGGAGGGAGTGACTGCTTCCAGCCAGGGGACTGGAGACGATTTAATGGGGAAAATGACATTTCGATTTGTCTTGAAGAATAGGTAGAATTTGAATCCTTGGATTTTTGAAGACCATACTTAGCCCTAGAAGACAGTGGATTGAGAGGATGAGGTTCTTCCAGCCTCCATTTCTGCATTTGCAAAAGAATCAGAGCATCTTTGTACTTTGGGTCCACATGGGAACCAGCAAAAGAGGAGATAGGGTGCTCTATGAAACGGAGCGCAGCCCAGGGGTACGGGTGGGATTGCTGGAACGGTATTTAGCTGTGTGGGACATTCAGCAAATCACTTTCCTTCTCTAGACCACAATGTTCTCATCTGAAAAATCAAATGATTTACCAGATGAAATATCTTCAAGGCATCCGCTGACTCAAACGTATTGTGTGATCCTAAAAGTGCCTTGGGGCAGATTTCTGAGAATGGGAACTGGGCTTCCTGCTCAGACAGGCACTTTGGTGAATGGGGATCGAGAGAGTCAACTGTAGTGTTTTACAAGGTCATACATAGCCAGGCTGTCAGGAAGTCTGGGTTTTACCTATTCCGTCCACCTGCCTTGGACCTTGAATCTCCATCTCTACTTCCCCTCTAGGCATTCCCACCTCTCACGGGCTTCCATGTTCCCCATCCACTCGCTCACAGTCGCCCTCCACCACCACCACCACCACCACCACCACCAGCACCACACCCCCTAGAAAAGAAAGAAAGGAGAGAGAGGGAGGGAGTGGGGAGAAGGAGAGAGAGAGACAGAGACAGAGAGAGAAGGAGAGAGAGAGAGAGAAGGAGGGAGAGAGGGAGAAATATGACCATCTCCGTTCACAGATAGCTCAAGTCCAAGCTTCCCACTGAGCACTGTGAGACCGAGGGGACATCTCATCTCCTTTCTGCTCACCCACCCCTATCTCCTTCTCTTTCAAATTATTTTTCCTCTATTTTTCAGATTCATCATCATTCAAAAGAAAGAAAGTCACTTTGGTCTTTTAAGGGTACCTTTTCATGAAGCTGTGTGTGTGTCTGCTTTCCTCTGTAGTTTTGGGGAGGCCGCAGGGGGCTTGGGGGGCGCTGAAAGAAGGGTGGAGGGGTTTCTGCAATGCTGCTCGGGTAGGAGGTGGGATGCGATTGAGACAGGGAGGGGCGTCTCCGGGCTGTCACAGGAGCTTTGTCAAGGGACATTCATTTTCTGGCCTTCAAAGCTATGAACAGAAAAGTTAGAAAGAGGAGAGTAAGGTTATAGGTGGGGAACATTCGTTTTAGGAAAGGCAATTCTATCTTCAATGAAATCAATTACGCCCTGGCTTCTCACTCACAAATCCTAATCTTTGATCTCTGAGGTGGTGGGTAGAAGAGCAGCAGGGCGCAGGCTGGGGAGTCAGCACCCTGTCAGAGGCATTTATTGTCGCAAATTTATTCAAAACTCATTAGGTATAGCTGAGGAAGTTGGGGTATGTTTGCAGGGCGTTGAGGAGACACACGGGATGGGCTGGGGTCAGCGCACAACCCTTAGGGAATGTAGGGTTGTCGAGACATGCTCTGTGGCACAGCCCTCGCCCCCTTCCTTTCTGAACTTGGACAAGGCTTGCCTCAGTTTCCTTATGTATTCTACCCTGAGCACCTCACAGGGTTGCTGAAAGGGCCCGAATGAGAAACAGACAAGGGAACGTTCAGCTGTGTCCCATGGACGACGAGGACCGCTGTCCTCCCTGGAGAGCACGCTCCTCCTGTGAGAAGCTCGTGAGAGGACCCCCTCTTTTCTTTCCTTCCTTTCACCTGCTTCTCAAGCCCCAGGAGGCTGCCAAGAGAATGGACAGCCTTGACTCCTAGACAAGAAACCCGGCTCGTAGCTGGACCTTGTGACCCATGCTGGAAGCGCATCATATCTACTCCCCAGGAAAACTGCACCGTTCCCGATTGGCTGGGGACTGTAGGTTCATGCCGAAGGCCACAGCTTGGGTTCTTCACATCCCGGGACTCATTTTCAGTAGTGGCTTCAGAATTTCTGGGTAGAAGTGGCTTAGGGGCTGCAATCTCTTTGGGGAGTGGAGGTGCAGCTAGGAGAACTTGAAGCCGTGTTAATAAAACAAACATCCTGTCCAGAAGGAAAAGGAATGGGTTTGGAAAGCTGCTGACACACTTCTTACCCTTGTCATCGATGGCGTGGGCTTGGGCCGGGTCTACAGGTGGTTAGCGGGAGCAGATATACCATGGGGGAGACTGAGGCAGGCCTGAAGGCAGAAGCTTTAGGAAGACCCAGAACTTCTCATCTCTGTGAACACGGGCTTCTCTTGCGCTGCAAGTGTCAGCTTTTCAGTACCATCCAGTACATTCTTAAAGGTCTCCAAAATTCCAGCATCAAAGGCAACATGGTTGGCTCAAAATTGGTAATGCTTCATGAATTTTATGTTTATAAAATCGACCTCAGAAACACATTTGGCTCATGAAGTGGGTCATACTCTCCCCTCTGGTTACTCATTCATAAAACAGATATGTTGCCAAAACCCAGCAGTTACTCTTGAAGCAAATATTTGTATAATAAAAATGCGTCCACTGAAATACACAACGCATGGTCTGACTCTATTATAACACATTACTAGTGAAATCAAATCAAGCAATATTTACTAATAATTACTATTATTATGAAAAGCAAATATTTGTTGAATGCCTATTATACCCTGGGCATTCGTCTAAGTGTTTTACATGTGTGTTCTCACTTGATCCTAACAACAACCCTATAAGGAGAATATTACTATGCCCATTTTACAGATAAAACTCAGGGTAATTTGGTGACTTTTCTGTGGCCACCCAGATGGTGAGTAATAGAGCTGGGATTCAAGTCCAGGTTTGCCCGTGCCAGGCTCACCCTCCTAGCCACAGTAATTGCCTTTTGCTTTTGCTGAGCACCTAATTTATATAGGAAGCCATGGAGTGGAGTGGTTTAACACACAAACTTGGGAACAAGGCTTTGTGCCTGGGTTTAAACTGTGCTTTCTTCATTTCCATGAGCCTGTTTTCTTCATCTGCAAAACAGGAATAATAATAGTATCTATTTCATAGTGTTGAGAATTAAATGAGATGTAGCAGATACAGGGTTTAGGATTCAGTGTTAGCTTTTCCTATTATTTCTAGGCATTGTGCCAGGCTTTGCAGGATGAAAAGAAGTCAGAGAGGGAGCTTTGGACCTAAGTCTTCACTGACTCAAAGCCTGGAGTGGCAGAGGAAGCATACTACCTTCTTCACTCAGGCCTTTCTCCTCCAAAAGATCCTTTTGATTTATTACCAAGAAGCCATCTACCGACCACAAAGGCAAAATTTCAATAATTCTCACCCAGTTCCTGGCTAAAGATGCCCAAAGCGACTTCTAAGCCGATAATTTTCAAAGGGGGAATTGAATTCACATGCTTTGAAGAGAGAGACTTAATGATTGGGCCCATTTGTTATGTTTTAAACATACATGGACGAGCCATCACACAGGCAGCATGTGATGGGCCCTGGGGACTGACGGCTTGTGAGTGACTGGGTGTCTGTCTACACAGATTGTCTTCATATCGGTTCCTGCCATCTTAGAGTCCAGGCAGGCATTTCCTCTTGGAGATTTGAAGATGCCAAATATAAAATCGGTTGCCCGAAAGAGGGTCTTAAAGTCATCGTACATATTCTTCAGAGAGGGGAGAAGGTGATGATGAAAATAGAGCTGAATCTTAACGTGTAGCTGCTCAGTCTAAACTGGAAGGTGCCATCAAGTGGGTGGATGCTCACTGAGCTGTGTATGAAGCTATGCTCTATTAGGGACGTCATAGCATGAAACCACATCTGTGTTAGAGCACCACTCCTTCCCACACCACCAGCCACCTGCTCCTTCTGAGCAGAATTGTTCTCTGTCCTCTTTGAAGGAACAAATGGTCTGAAATATTGAACTGGAAAAAGTGCTCCAGGCACACATTCTCCTTCCCGGGCTCCCATGGCAGGATTTATGATGGGCCAGAGCCTATGCATTTGTTATGTCATTAGTTCTCCCTACAACCCTCAGAGGTGGAGATGACACTCTCATTTCACAGATGAGATTTAGGTTCAAAAATGCTTAGTAGCTGCTCAAGGTCACATACCTGCTAAGTGACAGATTTGAATCATTGAGATCCACACCATAGAGCCCCCTTCTCTTGTGCCAGAGATGCTGAGTTCCTTGGCGAGGTCTGTGGCCCATGCAATGCCAGTGTTTCGAACTCCCCAGGTGACTCTCCTGGGCTGCCTGGGCTGGGAACCACCATATTACATCAGCCTTCTTATCAATCAGGGACTTTTAATTCCATCTTGCATCACAGATTCCTTTGGGGGCTGGGGGAAGCTATGGATCGCCTCTACAAAAAAATAAATATGGTTATACGCAAAAATTGCATACGTTTCAGGTTATTATGGAAGTTTTGAAGCTTCTATGTGGACCCCCCAAGGGTCATGAACTCATCCTAAGAGTCTATAAGTCCATGGCTCCAAATACTTGGCCTCACACGGAGTTAGCTGGGAGCCTTTAAATAATTCAGATTTCCAGGCCCCCATCCCAGATCTACTGATCACTGGATCTGTTCTCCCATAATATGTTCCTTGATGATTCTTATATATCCAGTCAGAAAACAGTCTTTGGATTGGTTTTTGGAAACCACTCTAAATGATGCCTACTCAATGGATCAGAATTCATTTGTCACCTCTACCTGTGTGATGTCAGGTAAGCTTCTATTTTCTTAGACTTCCCAAACCTATTTTCTCTTTTGTAAAATGGGATAACAATTGTCCCTACCTCATAGGATTGATATGGGATTAGATAAAATATTCCATATCTTTAGCACAATGTCTGGCAGATAAATGTTTATTTATCGCCACATAGTGTTATTTTTATCATCTAGGTAACTAATCTCTGTAAATGGTCTCTCGGTGATAGAATTGGGAACAGAATCTAATTTCTAGCAGACTGTCAACAAAAATACATGGGAAAAAAGGAAAAAAATCAAAGTTTATTAAACATTAAGAATAACAGGTAAAAGTTTGCATTCAACAGCATAAACACCACCAATATCATGGTACACAAACTGACCTCACGAGAACTTGTGCCTGTTGAACAGATGCAATCTTTGTGGTATTGCCAGAAGGGTAATGGTAGATTATTGTTGTTTGGTAAGGTGCTCCAAAATTAAAGATTTCATGTCTACACACACACACACACACACACACACCCCTACATACATTTGGTCTTCTGCGAAATGTACTGACTTTAGTTGCCAAGTCTAATTTATTAAGATCTAGGCTAATGCTTTGTTCACTTTTTAAATGACACTATTAATTGTGGAGAAAACCTGGAGACCTTGGCCTCCCCAGTGGGGGCTCCTAGGCAGGGAGCTGGCAGACTGCGAGCACAAGGTGTCGCTGAGGGCAGAACGTGCAGTGTTGTCACCTGCACCTTGCTGACACCGGCTTACATCCGGGCCTCCACGCCCACGCAGGCAAGCAGGCCATGCCAGCCTGCCTTGGGATTGCTCGGGATTAACTCTGATAAAGTTTGAGTCTTCCTAAAAGGAACATTAGGGAAAATTTAGATAAACTACCGGAAAAAGCAAGGTATAACTTTGCATTGTGTGGAATGTCTGTTGTTTTACCCTGGGACAGTGGTGGGGGGAGGGGGAGGGAGGAGAGGAGTTAGAAATCCACTTAAAATTCCTGACTCTTCCAAAAACAGACCCGAGACCTTTTAAACAAACACTTAGAATTATTTTGAGCTCCCGTATAAAACCAGTGAGTTGAAAGGAAGCTTCGGGTTATCCACTACAGCTTCCTACCCACCCAATGCCTGAATCCCATCTGCACTCTCCTCGAAATGTCCTCCTGCTTTAAGGGCCGGTTTTGCACATGCCTGTCCTACTTGCAGATGCAAGGCCTATCGCAATCTTGCCCAAAGTGGGGTTTCAATGGTCAAAAAGTGGCAACTTTCTCAAGAGAAGGAAGTGATCACTTAAAGCCCTCCCATTCCCTACCTACCTCTGCAAGGTAGCATGAGTGGAAGGGTATAGGCTGATCGATTTTTGCCTTTCTTTGAAAGTCTAGTAAAAAGAAATGATGTCGTGACCTTGATGAAGTCCTGGGCCACTCATTCCGAATCATGTCTAAATGATGTTGGTATGATTTGGATTCATTTTTAATGGCCCAGTAATTAATCTCTGAAAGATGTATATGATGAAGAGGTGACAAATGACAACGGGACTCTCATAATAGCTGCGGCCTGGAGAACTCATTTGACCCTGGTTGATCCAAGTCATTCCAAATCAGGCCATGGCCTCCCACGCCACTTAGCAGAACGACCCTATTTACCAGTTAACTGCCCTGGACAAAAGGCTGCGAGTCCAGGAGTGAGGGCTCATGTGTGTGTGGGGACGATGACCTACATATAAGGCACCTATACAGACTCCAATTTTTTAAATTTTAAGACGAGGTAGGTTCCTGAAACCTCTCCTGGCACACAAAACAGTAAGTTTTATTATGATCTTTTTATTTCTTCTGAAAACATTTGTGATGCTCATTCGATACAAACAACCTAACTCCAAGAAAGACCGGTGCTCAAATACAGGTTTTTCAGCTATCATTTTATACTTCAGTGACTTTAGATGGTCCACGGTACAATCCCTTCAACACTTCTCCACTCCATACATCATTTGTCTCTGCTTTAGTGAACACTGCCGTCTAACGATTCTGCTGCAATTAGCCTCTTTACTGATAAAAAGACCAATTCTGTGTCCACTAGTGTCTCTTACTGAATTCAGTTCTGCTTGAGATTGTCAAAGCTTCTGTTTATTAGTTGTTTACCTTAACAATGTATTTCAATTTCGATACTCTTCCATCTCCCACTGTAATCTGTAGCTTGGGACAAAATGGATACCTAGTAGGAACAGCCTACTAGTCAGCTTTCCCAAGACTATAAAACTATGAGAGAACTGCTGATGGATTGACAAAGAGACCACCAGGTTACTAAAGAATTAGATAACTCTGGAGGCAGGAAACTAGAAAATCCCATTGATGAAAAGGTATTTTAATCTGGCACAAAATGTTTCTTTGTGATAACAGCAGAATCTTTTGACATCACACAACTTAGTGAAACAGGAGAACAATCTTTAAAGTCAAAACATCCATCAAATTATAAACCATACACATAGCACCGATATTGACTGTATATTGACTGCCTAAGATGCACGTGCCCACGGAGAAGAACAGAATTGTTTGGGGTGTTTGCAATGATATTCCATTCCAGGAACTCATAATTTTGAAGTGAACATTTTTGTGGCAGATGCTTTTCCTGAAAAACACTGTATCATCCAATAAATATTTGACTAACATCCATTTTGTGCTTTTGGGTGACGTTAACTGACTTCTTTCTGAGACCTAATAAGAAACAAGAAAGCTTCTTATTTATTTTAGAGCGGGATTCATCACAGCAAGCCTCGAAACTGTCATAAAACTTTTAAAGCAGAAAACATGCTGATGTATCAGTGATAGGCTTAAAATATTAAAGACTTCAAACGCCCCAAGCACTTCTTCTCTGTACAACATTGATGAATATATATCTTTGCTATATAATTTTAAAACATGGAATAGTTTTCCTTTTCTCTTTGCTATATATAATATATGTCTTCCAAAATACATTGTCAGTATTTATATCTGAAAAATACTGTACAAAAAAGAACTTCCTATAATTACTCTGTATAAACATTAAACAATTTAATAATCTCTCCTTTTGGTCAATAGTAAACATTTAAATTGATTGGATTAACCGCAGTCTGTGACAATGCCATCCCCCTTCTGAGATACACCAGTGTCTTTTACATTCATTTTCAGAAGTCCACTTTATAAAAGCACATCCGTTCAAAAGCAAACAGAGAATAAGAAACACGAGCTCCAGAATTATTAATTTATGAAGCATTCAAAAATGACACCACTAGGAAAAAAGGTCTTACAAAACATCAACTCATTAACTTAATCAACTGATTTTTAAAAACAGCAAGGTATAATTCACAAAAATATATATATTACAAAAAATGGGGCAAACTGAATCTTAAGTAATTGAATTGCTTTGAATATCAAGAGGGATATGGAAAAAGTTAACTAGAAAAATTGGGAGTGGGTTATAGGAGAGGGGAGAGAACAAACCAAATGTATCAATGTCAAAAGCTATTCCAAGACGCCTTTTTTTTTTTTTTTTTTTGGCTGTATACTGATAAATTAACCCCTCCTTCTTAGACCTGGCATTTCCCTCCGCTTCCCTGTCCTGGGGATGTTCTGGCATGCTCGAATGCATTACTGTAATTTTTGTTTTTTTTTTTAAGGATGAAATTCTTAGGTAGGGTAAATATCCTACGTCCACTAGTAATACTCAAGCAGCATGCTCTAGCGTACAATAGGATTATTGCTTTAGGTACAGACAGTGCAAAAACACACTCTGTGTTCTATAATAGTACTCTTACTTATCTGGGGTTGGTAGAATTAAAAGGAAACTTAGTCGATAGCAGTAAGTAAATACGGGATCTAATAAATCTAAACAGCACTTTAAATTTGAAGACGATCATCACCCAAACTGAAAATATGAGGAAAGCAACCTATAACTGGATAGAGCTGCGGTGTAGTGCTAGGTAATTTTGTGCACCTTATTAGCACGGTTACTTACAGATTAAACAGAAACAAAAGCTTGTCGTCTTGAAAACTGAGATCTACCGTTTTACCAGGGCCCTCGTCAGTGACTCCAAGCAGAGGGTCCTGGAAGAGTGGGTAAGAGCGAACACGCAGCAACACCGAAACGGCAGGAGCAGGGGAGAAGGGAGGGTCAGGAAAACCCACGAGAGGGCTCCACAGTCCAGTAAAAACATGGCACCTTTCTTTTTCGGAACTAAAAGAGGGTGAGAGGGATATCTGAAAATAGCAAGTGCAAAGAAAGGGACGCGCGCGCGCGCGCGCGCACGCACACCGCCGACCGCACACGGGAGCACAAGCGCAGGCGTGCGCGCACATACACACCGACACGCGGGGCGGTTGTGCCGATGCCTCTGGTAAAGTGCTGATGTCAGGAAGGTTGGTTCGGGTGTGGTGCGATCAGACAGGAAACAAAGTGTCCATCTAGTCAAAGGCCAGCCCCTCCCCCCCAAATGCCATCGTCCTACAGGGGCCCGTGCCTGGCCTCGTACTTGGCGAGTATGTTCTTGCACTTGCCCAGCTCCTTCCGCAGGTCGGCCACCTCCTGGCGGAGGGCCGAGTTCTCCTTCTCCAGGAACGAAGCCCGGATGGCGATCTGGTTCTCCTTCAGGCGCCGGGCGTCGCGCGAGCGCTTCGCTGCCATGTTGTTCTTTCTGCGCCTTGCCCAGTACTTGTCATCCTGCTCATTAGTTACAGAAGGAAAAAGAAACAAGATATTAGATTTCAGCAGAGCGCAGTGTCAGCCAGGGGCACCGGCAGGCCTCCGGGTTGTGCCGAGGCACCAGCCCGGGTGGCTTAACGTGCGCCTCCTCCCTTGACAGTCTCTGCGGGGCTGCGAGGAGGGTCCGTGGGCCATGGCTTCCTTCTTGGGGCAGGGACCAACCTGCCACGACACGCTCCTACGCTCTTTGCCCAGCAGGGTATGTGTCCCACGAGGAGAGATGCATCGGAGGCAGAATGAAAGCAAGCAGCTCACCGCACGCCCTAAATCACATTCCGAATTTCTCTACTCTTTTTGTTGAAAAATTTTATTTTATGAACCCTTCTCTTCCATGGGCACTCATGTGCTTTTGGTGTAAGTTAATACCATATTGTTAGAAGGAAACCTGATAATATCTATCGACTATTGAAATGCACATACCATTGATCTAGCAAGTCCACTTCTAGGATCTCATCCTATAGCCATCTTCATGTTTGTGCCCACAGACACGGGCATTGAAAAAAAGGGGAAACAATAATTATCAATAGGAGATTGAAACTGCGTTATGATGGAGAATACTCTGCAGCTGTTAATGACCCAGCCGAACCAGAAAGATATCCATGATATACCGCTACGTGGGCAGAAACAGTGGTGATCTGCAGATAAATGTGTATGGCCTTGCCCCCCTTTGGTTAAAAAAATCATAATATCATGTATTCGTAGAAAGAAGCCCAAGAGAATTTATGCCAAGCTAAGTATGAGTGGTGCCTTCAGAAGGGGAATTAGAGGAGGGAGGCCAAGGAGAGAGGTAGGACCTTTTACTTTTTCTTTTATATCCTTAACTGTTAGAATGTTACGTAATGGGCATGTGCACTTTGGTAATTCAAAACAGAAATTAAAAAATAGACTTCTACCTGCCACTGATCAATACACTCATATTGATGGTAGCATTTAAACCACCTACTGTAATTTCCTGTTTAACTGTTCTCTAGGCCTTAATTAGCCTGAGTAATGTTTGTTTAACTGTAGTCAACAAGAAAGCAATCCTTTCCCACCCACTGCTGCTCCCCCTGACAAAAGAAGGGAGAACCTTCTTAGGAAGACTAAGAAATGCAAACCTTCTTCTACACCTTCCTAATTGATTTATGGTGCCACCTGGTGCATGTTGTCACCCCTCCTGTTTTTTTATTTAACAACTTGCAACAGCAAATCCCTTAATCCTAGCAAGCCAAATACCTGCGGTGACATGCTGCCCAGAATAAGTGGGTGAGGCCAGTTCAGTCCTCCCCCAGGATTCCAAGGGGGCAGTTAGCACTGGAGGAGGTCATACGGGTTGGGGTCAAGGCTGCAAGCCAGGTCCAAGGTCAGTGGTCCACCCCCATATCTGCCCATAACCTTCGGCAGACAGGTGCCCTGCACGAAGACAGAAAGCGTGAGACGGGAAGTGTGTCTGCCGCTCACGAGCTGGGACTGTTATTTATAAAGCGCTTTCAGCTTTCTGTACATTTCACAATAATATATAACAAAGTGAAAAAAAAATGATCTTTATAATAGCGGGTACTGGAATTCTTCTTAGAGCAAGCCTGGGGCAGGTGTGCAATGGCGGTTGGTGGGGTTTGTTGTTTGTGCTTCCGAAAGGGAGCTACAGGAAGGGGAGAGAGGCCAGGTAGCTGGACGAGAGCAGCCGGGAGACGCCAGGGGAATGAAAGATTTCACAGGGGTGAATGGCCCCCAAGGGTTACTAACAACAGTGAAGGAGGCCTCGGTTCTGATGGAAGTTGTGTTACTTTGATGTAGCTCCAATCCCGCCTCCTTGGTAGTGCCAGTACATCTACGTGCTTGTCAACGTTCCTGGCAGTGTGGTTTCCAAGATCACGCGGAAGAGGGGCTGACTTAGGGTGTATCAGAACCTGCGCTGAGGGGGACGGGAGCTGGAGAGGTGAAGGGGTACAAGAGAACAAGTCCCTGGGAAACTGTAGAAGCTGTGTGTGTGGCAGGGAGACGGATGGGGACAGACCGCCACAGGCCATGGCCTTGGTGGTTGGCGACCAGGTCTTAAGGACCAGGAAGTCAGTCACCAGCTGGTGACCTCAGGGTAACAACCACTTTTCTGTTTCTCAGCTCTTCTCACTTCTCAGGTGTTTTCGTTTCCTAGCCTGACCTGTCCACACATGCAGGTTAGTTAGGAAAGGTGTGGGATGGGGACCACCTTAGGAGGGGATCGGGGAGGAGCTGGGAACAGGAATGGAGCAGAAGACACAGAAGGCAGGAATGATGGAAGGAGGACCGTCCTGGCCGAGAAAAACTGGCTTGATGCCCTTTGTTGTCACAGAATGGCTAGGGGGAGGGGAAAGCAGGATACTGAGTGGGGCTGACAAATTTGGCACTACATCCCTGCCCCCTTCTGACTCGCAGGTGCAGATGCCATCTGGCTGCCCAGTTACCCCCCCGCCCAGCAAGGGTCCCCTCAGTGCAGTCCCATCACCTTTCCGAGGGCCTCATGTTTGATGCTTCCTCCCCACAGCAGCCCTCTCCTGACAGGTCAATATCCCTTTTTCTCACCAGACTGGAAGCTCCTGGAAGGTAGGAACAGTGTCGGTACTGGCTCACCTTGCGAATCCCAGCCCCTGATACAGGGCTTGGAACACGGCAGCATTTAAAAAATATTTATCAAGTGATTGATTGGACGTTGAAAAGTATTAAGACATGAAAGTAATTAAACTGATTCTCAGCTAGGAATCCCAGTATGCCACCCCTTAATTTTCCCAGGGGATGCATGCTAACTCAAACGACTGGCTCAAGGGAGGAAGTTCAGTTAGCTGTGGAGAAGCCCATTTATCAGCGGGGGCCGTTTCACTCAGTTGGTTTGCCCATCCAATGCTGGGGCCCACAAACACCTCTGCCACCCGCCCCAGCTCAGTCCTTCTGCAAGGAGAAATATGTTACAGCTCTGCCTCTTGCTTCACATGAGTTCATGGCCTGTGGCCTGAGGCTTCACCCACAACTGAAGAAATCCAAGGACAAATGGCGGGAGAATGTTCCTGCCTACTCCCGACCTGCCGTGTGAAAAGGTCAGGCCTGGCCACGACAGTAGTAACATGCATAATTCCAGCACAGACATTTTTCAGGTGGCCTCTTTGTTGCCAAGGTTACCTGAGTTATTAAGTAAGCTTGCTCTCCGCTTTGAACTTATAAATTTGGAGACCCTGTGAAGGTCTGGCTGGAAGTTATATCTATTACTCATCAGCATCCTTTCAACCTATTCTCCATTCAAAAGGAAATCCATGCTGTATGTGCTCCTCAGTTTAGTACAGAGGCGAGTTCTCAAATCCACACAGAACTGGACGGCTAAGAACACAAGATCAGGAAAATGGCCCCACTGAAAGCTGATACCTAATCGCCCAGGACCCAATCCCATGGCGCCCCCTGCATGCCCAGTCTTAGGCTAAATATCAACACCCTGACTAGTTTAGATTTTCTGGTGGTTTATTCTGCACTTTCCTCTTTTGATTCTCAGGGTGACAGCTACTGGTTTGTCACCCATGAGCCCCTGTTGTAGCCCTTTGGAAGGGCCAACATGGTGCAATGACCTTGCTGGAAACTATAAGACTTGGGGACTAGGCTAGGCCTTACCGTACCTAGCAGTGTTCACCTTCTTTCACCTTTCTGCTTCTCCGTTTCTTCCACTGCAAAATGATAACTTGGTCTAATGAATCTCTGAGGTCCCTTTCGGCCCTGACATTTGACAATTCTGCATCACTCAAGATAATCACAGGTATGTGGATGACAGCAGTGATTTAAATCTGCCAGGTATGTTTGCTCTTTCTAGATGTGAAAAGCTGAGGTAACTGGTCTCAATTGGCTCCAGGACAATGTCTCAAAGATCCGTTTTCTCGGCCTAGGAATGACTTTCTATTTAAATCATATTTAGGTTTAAGAAATGTGGTTCAGAAATTAGAAAAGGGCTACTCATGCCTGGTTCCAGTGCCTTGAATGTATATAATCAAATCTCCATTGTCCATAAGACTGAAAGAAGCATAAACACAGAACATTCTAAGCAACCGCTAAACAAAAGTGGTTCTCATCTGGTATTAGTGGACATCATTTAGGAAAGAATTCCCTTTCCAAAGTATCATAAATGTGTCAAAATAGTTTAAAGTTATACCTGACTTCCTAAGGGAAATCTATGTTCCTTTATAAAGAAAGTATCCCTTCAACACAAGAGAAAAAACAACCACCTGGAATTAACCTTTTGTTGAGACATTCGAGTGATCATTACTTGAGCTACACAGAGTGAACACTGCACATAAATAGTATCAGGGAACCCACCAGCTTCCTTAACAAAATCCCACTGTGGTCATCCAAGGGTGACAATGTAGAGAGAGGTCCTGTCTCCAGCTGTTATTCCCTGAGGCCTTCAGGGAAAAGGCAGCAATTGACTCTCAATAAATCCCCCAAAGAAAGGGAACCCTTGGAAGGCTCTGAGATCGAGATGCCCTTCCCAGGTAATTTTCTTTCTCTTTCCAACCCTGAAAGATTTTGGTTTGATTTTATTAGACCGTCCTGGGTTTCCTTGCAGATAGTAGGGTGTTTGCCTCCTTCATGGGCTGCAAATCACTCTAACATTTTATTGCTTCTCCTTATTTCTGTGTATTATCAGGACATGAAAGGCATGTTTCAGAAGACACCCATTAAAAGAAGCAACTTGCCTAGAGCCACACTCCAAGAAACAGGATCAAGGATCACGGAGTCTTTCGTTCACTAGTTTGTGTGATCTTCCTGGGGCCACCCTTTTAATTTGCCTCTTGATCTTCCCACTCTCTATCTTCCCAAAGCCTGATTACCAGTTCCAATTTACCTTCAGATCATCAGGGATGAAGACTTTGCGAGCTTTCTTAATCATGGGTTGCGGTTTCAGTTCTTCCTCAGAGAACTTGCGTTTGCGAGGGTCAAACATTTCCTGACCAGGGATGCTGGAGAGGGCAAGATCTGCCGGGTCTGGCTCATACCCCACCGGGACCTGGATGGTGTCAGGATCAATGGGACTCGGTGTATTGCGGTTTGCTGGCAACAGCTGACCTGGAACAACATAGGAGTTTTAATTCACGAACACCCTAGGGAGACCCAGTAGACACTACTCGATGATGCTCCAGGATGAGTGGCAAGAGTCTTCAAGTTATTTTCTATCTGCCCCCGGCACTGTTTATCTTATCCATCCTCACCATGTTCCTGAGAACCCAGCAGACTGAGTATGACTTTACTGGTGTCTGATCAGACACAACAAAGACCCACATCCATGTAGTCACGAACTAAGCTAAAAACTACCTGCATTCATTCTTTTCTATAACACATTCATGGAGCACCAACTACGTGCCAGGCACTCTGCAAGGTGCAATGGGTAGAAATACATGATTTTAACCTTTAAGATGTTTTCCAGGCTGGTCAGGGAATCAGACCAACAACTAACCAGTGAGGATATAGTAAAGGTGCTGGGATGGAAGTAAACCCAGCTTCTAGAGTGTGGGGGAACAGTACCTAACGCAGAGGAGGTTAGGGAACATTTCCTAGAGATGACACTTGGTGTAGCTGTATCTTGAGACAAACGGTAATTACCAGGCACACATACAAGACAGAGGACTGCATTTTTTGAGGAGCCGCAAGTAGTCTGGGCGGCTGTAGCACTGAATCAGAGCACAAGATGGAGGGGAGAGGGGTGTACGTGTAAGAGATGTGGTCGGGAAGGTGGGCAGTGGAGATATGATAACGGACCCTGGGCGTCAGGGAAGGTTTCTGAGCGCTGAAGCAACCAGCAGAGCTGAAGTCTGGGGAAGGAGACCCAGGCGGTGTGAGCGACACACTGAAGGGGACAAGACTGGATGAGGGCGGTCAGCTCCCAGGCTGCTGTGATAACCCACGCACGCATGGAGACTGGCATTGGGGACGGGGGAAGGGGGTCGGTTTAAAGAGATATTGAACAAATTAGAAAGGACATAATGGAGACAATCTAACTTCCACTTGAGAGTTCTACAGGCTAAACCACTGAAATGCACAAACGTCCATAGAACAACAGGTTTACTGCATTTTGTAATACGTCGACCTGGTGAAAGCGAACTTAATAACAAACCATGATGTTTAGGTAGGGAGCTCTGAATCTTGACTTCTAGTTTCATCTAAATTTTACAGTCACCCCTTTCACACCCAGGGGATAAATGAGCCGACATGGCTCAGCTCCATGTGGCCCATCTCCTCTTTCTCACTGCCAATGGCTGGACAATATGTATATCCTGTAGGGTTCATTAAAACCTATCCTAGGTTGAAGCATGAAGTCGATGGCTCAAATTCTAGCTAAACTGTGAAACCACGCTCTTCTATTTTCTGGCAGGGCCTGGTGGGGAGCTTGCAAAATGAATGTTTTGGGTGACCTTTTATGTCCCCACTCTGCTTTGAGTTCTCTTTGTCTCTTGCTTGCCAAAGAGGAAGAGATGGGCCCCCGAGGCATTGGCAGAGGACAGAGATTTCTCATTAGCCAAGCTGCAGCTCAGCTCCAGCTTCTAGAGACTGCTGAGTTCTGTATCGGATGGTGTCAAGCTGGATTTGATCCTGTGCCTCTTGACATTGCCTCAGAAAATGAACCATATCTGAGTCAAACGGGGATTTTATTTTCTTTTTAGAAACTGTTTGAATTTAATAACAAAGCTAGCTACCCAATGCCCATCACCTCTCTCTACTCGACTTCTCCCAACACACACACACACACACAGGCACATGCAGCTACTCTTTGGAAGTATCTTTTAATTAATATTCCCCAAATATAATTGCTCCAAGTTACTTCAAGTTCCTCCTTAGTACTTCAGTCTTCTGTTCATCATGCTACATTAAAATGTTCTCCTTTACTGATTTACAAATGTTTTTAAGACACACACACACACACACACACACACGCACATGCAGCTACTCTTTGGAAGTAACTTTTAATTAATATTCCCCAAATATAATTGCTCCAAGTTACTTCAAGTTCCTCCTTAGTACTTCAGTCTTCTGTTCATCATGCTACATTAAAATGTTCTCCTTTACTGATTTATAAATGTTTTTAAGTCATGCTACATTAAAATGTTCTCCTTTACTGATTTACAAATGTTTTTAAGTTTTACACACACACACACACACACACGCACGTGCGCATTCGCCACCCTCCTCTACCAGACAAGATGGAGGGGAGAGGGGTGTACGTGTGGTCTTCCATGTTTTATCTATTTCAGCTCCACCCCACTCTGCACTGTGGGAATTCAGCTTCTACAAGGAGTACTCCTCACTTCGTGGTGGCCATCTATGACACTGGGCTCTGACATTCATTCACGGACGTTCTAATGGTAACACTTCACATTTAGGCAGAGCCTTCCTTGGCATGCTTTCTCTCTGGCCTCTTCTTCCAACGGAAGTAGGTCACCCTACCTGCAGAATGGAGAAAACCTAGCTGGACCCCAGACGAGCTCAATGGTTTCTCCAGCGTCAAACTGCAAATGGCAAAAATCCCGAGAAACAGCCAGGTCTCCCTTCCCCCCAAAGCCACTGTCATGCCACCTTGTTGATCTACATTTTCTACTGATTAACTCCGCTGGATTCTTTTTTTTTTCCTCTTTACTCCAAAATGTCAAGTGTCACTGGGAAAAGAGAAGGAGGATCTTTACTGTTTTGTCCTACCTTTTGTGGATTTTCAAAATTTAGCATAAGAATTTTCAATTTAAGAACGTATCATTACATACTTTTGAAAAGTTACCGAAGATGTTCATTGCAAAATTTTAACAAATGCAGAAATGCATCAAGAAGTGGCCCTCTCCCCTGCCCCCAATCCATCGTGCTGCTCTTCCCAGAGGTGACTGCCCTCAACTGCTAGTGTGAGCCTTTCAGATCTTTTTTTTTTTTTTACACATAAATGATTTAACTACCCACATATCTTGAATAGATTTTTCAATAGTCCATATATAATTTCTCATGTTAGTACAAATAAAAACACTTTGTTCTTTTTAAAGAGTGAGCAGTATGTACCTAATTATTCTCCGACAGATTTTTAGGTATGTGGGTATTTTTGTAGAAGAGATTCCTAGAAGTAAAACTGCTCATGCGAAAAGCATGTACATTTTATATTTCTAAATGTACTCCTAAACTGTTATATCTATTTACACTTGCATCAACATTAATGAGAACTCATTTTATCACAATTAAATATTAATTTTTAAATGTCAGTCTGATATACACAACTATCACTGTTGTTTTAATTGGCATTTCCCTTGTTACCAGTGAGACTGGACATTTCGAATGTTTATTGGGTATTTATTCTTCTCCTGTTTACCACCCCTTCATAGTCTTTGCCCCCTTGTATACAGATTTTGTTCCTTATTCATTTGTAAGAATTCTTTGTAGACTATAGATATAATCCTTTCGTTTGTTTTATCTAAAGAAAATATTTTCTCCCAGATTCTTTGTTTTTTAACTTTGCTTATAAAATTTTACACTATTGGTGAAATCTTACATTGTAATGTAGCGATGAAATCTTCTCCTTATGGCTTCTAACTTTCATACCTCCTCTACCTCCAAATTATATTACATACACACACATATAAACCAATGCATGTATATATACATATAGGTATGTGTGTGTGTGTGTGTGTGTGTGTGTATATATATTACTCCATACTTTAATACAACTGTAATTGATTTACATTTTTAGAATTTTGAGTCACTTAGAATTTATTTTTGTATACAGTATAAGCAAGGGGCTTTCCAAAATGCTTTCCAAATGTCTGAATATAATCATATCTGTAAGGTTTGATATTTGATAAGGCAAATTCTGCCCCCCCCTTATTGTTCTTTTTAGAAAATTTTCTTATTCTTATTCTCTCCTAGATGAATTTCAGAATACATTTATTAAGTTGTAGTTAAAGTTATTATTGGGAATTTCGAATAAAGATTGCATGAAAGCCATAGGTTAATTTGGAGACAACTGACTATATTAAAAATATTGAGTATACCCATGGTATACTCTCCATTTTTATTTTTTGATCTTTTTCTTATATCTAGCAGTTAAGTCTTACAGTTTTCTTCATTTTAACTTTTCACGTTCTTTGCTGAATTTATCCCTTACATGTTTTATAATAGTTGTTCCTAGTGTAAATTTCCCATTCGTTATACTTCCTAATTGGTTATTGCTGGCTTATAGGAAGCTACTGGTTTTAACATGCTGAGTTTTCATGCAGCCAGTTTACTCTCTTATTACTTCTAACGGGTCTAACATTTCTAACTTCTCTTTGTTTTCTAGGTAAATAATCTTATCTTCTGCCACTAGAGACAGCTGTTGCTTCCTTTCAATGTTTATAATTCTTACTTAAAAAAAAAATCTCAGTGCATTAGGTAGGCTCTGCAAAACAACGAGGAGCAAAAGGGATGAGACTAGAGATCCCTGCTTGTCCCAGAATTTTACAGAAAAAGCTTTTCAACACTTTATACCTTTAAGTATGAAGGTTTGTTCTAGAATCTCGGTAGGTACAGTTTGACAAGCTAAGGCAGTTTCAACACTCCCAGCCCTACTGCTGTTGTTTTGTTTTGTTTTTAACCAGAAATGATGCATGAAATTTCTTCAAATTCCTGTTTAGGAACTGTTGAGGTAATCGTGTGGTTTTCTCCTGTATTCGGTAAGTCTGAGCTTGGTATTTCTCCAAGGCTTTCTTGAAAGATCCAGGGTGGACAAGATCAACCCCATGATGTAGACTCTGAAGTCTATTGGCCTCTAAAAGTATCTCGATGAAAAGTCACTTCCAGGAGGGCTAAGGAGGATTTCTGGAGGAAAGGGTGGAACAAAGGATTTAAATCTGGAAAGAGATTAGAAGTTACCTTCAAACCCAAAGTTGGCCTTCACTTTTGTCACAGATTAGGCATAACTTGACTACTTGAAGATAGGATATTTCTTATTCTTACATACTTAATAAAAATGTAGCATCTCATGTTCAGTTAGCTGATTATCTAGAAGTCATCAAAGAAGGGGAATAGCAGCAATCTGTGTCCTGTGCCCTTATCTCCTCTCA